CCCCCCCCGAAGCGGCCTACGCAGCCGAGAAGTGAGACGTACGTACAGGGGGAAATGAGCCACCTTCGGCTATGTGGCAAGGAACGATCGGTCCTGTGGGTATAATCACTCCGTCCTCTAGAAGACGCGCGTGATCATTTGTCTTTCAGCTACGGCGTGCAAAACATGACCTCTCCCCTCCCACCGGTGCCACTCCAGGACTCTTCTCCAGGCATTGGGAGGGGCAGGCGCAGAACACGCCGAGATCTTCATCGGGCCCAACATGCAACGCANGGGGGGGGGGGGGGGGGCGGAGCCTCCGACTTCGCCGGGGGTGGCATCGGGGCCATGCTGAGCGGGCCTGGAGGGCTGGGGTTCCTCCTGAGGGGCATCGGCATGCCCGGCGCCATGGGCGGGATGGGGTTGGGGTTGGGCATGGGGCCCGGGGGGAACGTTGGCGACTACGCGTTCGGGGACCTGTCTCAGCTGATCCAGCAACTCATGGCCGCGGACACGAACAGGGTGAGCTAGCAAACACGGGGGAGTACTCATGTTTTGCATGCCTTAGCGGTTAGACGAAAAGGGGGAGGGGGGGACTAGTGTGGCGGGTAGTTGATTGTAGCGAGGGTGGTCGGTGTTGTGGCAATAATGTAGCGGCAATGCATGTGCCGAAGGGGCAAAACCGGGCATGACGACCACGGCGGCATAATCAAGCACATACAGCGATTATCGTCGTCGGAGTTCAGCTATGTTACTGCACAAGAGTTCCCCGCGTGGCACGGACGGTAGTCTATAAGTTCCGCGCTCATTCTTGCAACCGGTATCATCCGCATTCATGAATGCGCTTGGACTAGTTCCCTGGAAAGCTTTCCCTCCGCGACTCTTCCTCCTCTGTGTCCCCCGCCCAATGCGTATTTCGCCGCGCCGCGCCGCCTTGGACTGCTGTCTCGACGGAACGCCCTGGACTGTCTGGACGGGCCAATCAAAACGCCACATCACCCTACAGCACGGCCCCCCTCCAGCGTCGAAGAAATTTGTGGAGAACCTCCCGACGATCACTGTCGCTAAGGTGGGCATTGGGGAGGGGTGTGCACGCGTGTGTTGACGCTGTGTTTGTTGTCGACCGTGCTCTCCGACTTTGCCGAGCACAGTATCTACCCTTTCCACGTTAGGCCGAGCGAGCTATCTGGTCCATTAAGCATTCTGTTTTTTATTGGTGTGTGTTGGCAGACCGCCCTAGTCTTTTGTTGAGGAAGGAAATGCCGTTCGGTTGTTTCTGCGCTGCTGTTGTTGTTGTTTTGTTTTTCGTAAGCGCTGTTTCGTCAGGGCATCCCAAGGGTAAGAGCGTGCAGTGTACTTTATCCGGCATTCGCGTCACGTAGCCCGATGTGCTGTGAGAATTTCCTACTTGTTGGTTCTCACCCTCGCAGGCAGTGTTCGTGTGTCCACCGGTTGGCGCGGATAGAAGAAACAAATCTATGCTCGTTTCGTTGCTAGGGTGGCGTGCACACCCACACATGTTCGTATGGTAGCACGCGATGTCATCTTATCTTAGAGCATGCGGCCGGAGGGATGCAGGGTGCCCCGTGAGACAGGGGTGCCCGGTGTGCGGGTTGGGCATCACCGAAGGGAGGTCGAGCGTCGTGTCTCCTTTCCCGCTTGCTGATGCTCCGAGACAAAAGACCCCGTCGGGTGGCGGGTGGGTGTCTCGCGGCGCACTTGATGGCCGCTCTCTCGCGCTGGAACGCCCGGGCTCTCTTGGTCTCTTGATTCCCCTGTCCCTCTGCGCATCTCTCTCTCTCTCTCTCTCTCTCCCTCTCTCCCTCTCTCCCTCTCTCCCTCTCTCCCCTCTCTCCCATATCTCCCCTCTCTACTAGTACTACTCCTGCTGCTACTTATATCTCGAGTTTTGTTTCGCTTGCGGGCATGCAAACGTTACAATACGAACGGCATCAAGCGCGTCATGCCCACACTACCACAACATACCCTATTTACGCCCCCCGCCCCACCCCGCTCCTTTTTTCGCGATTATTTGTCAGGGCTCGGAGCTTGAGGGGCAGGAGTGTGCCGTTTGCAAGGACGAGTTCGCGGCGGGTGAAAAGGCCCGGGAGCTGCCTTGCCAGCACTCCTTCCACGAGCAGTGGTGAGCTACCGACCGACCGACGGAACGCCGGCGTGCAGATGATTTGTTTCCGCTAAGTAGATACATTGCCTCAAGAGAAGAAAGAGGGGGAACGGCGTGCGACGAGAGCCATGTACCCAGGTCATGGTGCTGTCGGGGTTCTCACAGGAAACACCGCAAACAACACTCCACGCAAATCAACGCTTTGTTCTAATGGTGGGAGTGCATTGAGGAGGTGCCATGTCCAGGCCGTGTTGGGCTGAGGACTGCGGTGACGCTTGGACATGGCGACGCCTTGTCGCTGTCAATCCCCTGCTGTATACCATGTGAGTGTTTATTTTTTGTGCGTTCACGTCTCACGCCTACCCGGTTGCTTTCGCTCTCTCCCTCCACAACAAAAAAAAAACGACCGCGGCGACGGTGGCCGCCCTCGTTCGTTCTGAATGGCAACAGCATCCTCCCGTGGGTGGCAGAGCGCAACACGTGCCCGACCTGCAGACACGAGCTCCCTACGGACGACAGCAGCAGCGGCACCAGCAATAACAACAACGACAGCAACAATGGTGACAGCGGTGACGGCGCCAACGCAGGTGATGGCGGGTCACAGGACGGCGGAGGTGGCGGCAGCAATGCGGACAGCAGGGCCAACTCCACCTCCTCTTCGTCTTCACCCTCCTCCTCCTCCTCCTCGGCCCCTCCTTTTACGTCTGGTTCGTCCGCTAGACGGACTGCCGCGAGCAGCGGCGGCGGCAGCGGCAGCGGCAGCAGTCAGACGGGCACCGAGAGATGATGACGGTTGCGGCCCATCGACACATTGACACACCCCGAAAACGACGGTGGTGGCAGTTTCTCGTGCGCCAGAAGTCGTCGAAGCGAGGCGCCGCAATCGCTGTACACAGTTGTGGTTCCTCATCGCCTTTCACTATACCGGGTTGTTCGTGGCCGAAAACGACAGCGGTGACCCTCTTTTCTCGTACGCCACAAGACAAAGCGAAGAGAAGCAGCGTGATCGCCGTTTGTTGGTGACCGAAGGGGCCGGCTTCTTCTCACCGATTAGAGCGCAGGGTCGACGACGCAAGGTGGCGGCCCGCTGGGGATGGAAGAGACAGGTTCCAGTTTACCCGTTGTGTGCCGGCGGGGAGGGG